TTCTTTATCACACAACTCCTTACTCTCCTTTGCCACAGCTGCAACCTCTAATTTTTTCTCTGGCGCACTCCCAGGTCGCATGACCTGCAGCGCCCTCAGCAACTCCTCTCTCTGCTTCTCAAAATTTTCCACTCCTCCAGCACACCCCCTTTTCTATGTTAGACTTAAAACCCAACATTTTTACCCCACTACACACCTTTGAACCCCCCCCAAATGACTTCACCATTTGCAACAATTCACGACACGGCCTCTTGCCGCAATTTCTGCACAACACAAACACTTTTAGACACGAATTATTCTGTTACTTTAATTGACTCCCGTACTTCTGACGAGACGCCGACTCTAACGGCGCTTTCACACAAACTACACACCTCCAACTCTCTTCCTCTTTTTTTTTTTTTTACACCACAGAGTAATACACCCAATTCAGCCCGTCTCTCTCTATGTGGCTCCAAATGCCCTCTTTATTTAATTTAACACTCGTCAGGGGACAGGCAAACAACAATTTCAACCACTGAAACGAGGAATACAACCTTTTTTAACCTTTTTTTCTTTTACTACTCTAGAGCTCAACCTTTGTTCGCAAAATGTGTCTTGCTCTAGTCCAGAATAAATGTAAACCGTGATTACACAGACGTTTCAGTGTTATTCTGTAGCTATGCGGGAGTCCTTAGTTCCCAAGTCACCACCTCGGCTAACCAGACGCCGTTGGACCTGACTGCGCGTCCACAGGCAGGGGGGTTGCCAACACCATGAACAAAAATATTTTCCACAGGTCCACTAGGCATCAACCTTTGATCCTAAAATGTGTCTTTGCTCTAATGTCCTCCCATTCACACATCAACCGTCACTGTCACCATGTTCATATTTCACACAGAAACACAGCAAGCGCGTCTCATCAGCAAAAACACAGAAACACAGCAAGCGCGTCTCACCAGCGGAAACACACACAGAAACCTCTGAGCTCACCTTTGAAAATGCAAGCGCACCATAAGCCAGACTCTATTTCACCTCTATTTCATATTCTACACTTTGGCCGCGTTTTGGAAGCTTTTCCCCATTTCTTGCAACAGAAGCCAGTCATAGACAAAATTAATTATGTAGGGTAAAAGTGGGCTGCACCCTAGTCTCAACGTAGAATATGATTAGTATCTTGCTAGAGCCAGTTCCTATAACACACTTGATTTCTAGTCTCAACGTAGAATATTATTAGTATCTTGCTAGAAAGTTCCTCTAACACTTGAATTCAGCCTCAACTTATGCTGTTAGTATCTTGCGCCGAAAACCAGACACCGACAATTTAATGTGAAAATACGTGTAACTCAGCGAACAGATTAATTTGGAAAGCCCAATATGCACATTTGGTATTTATAATACAACAGGCTGTGCTTACCTTTTTATGTTTGGACCGTCCTCTGTTCGCCTCGCCCCACGATCTCACCACAGGCCAAATCTGCCCCTCCTCAGCACACCAAAGATCCGGGTCACCGGCACCAAGTTGTTGAATTCTCCCAGTTCTTTGAATCTTTGGGCTGAAGAAGGACACTTACTCGGTGTATAAATGCTCAATCAACAATCCTTTATTTCCATACAATTTTCACACAATGAGCATAACAACCATCCGGATGGGGAGAGATGCAGAGAGGGTCACAGCAAGTCTCAAAATGGCGATGTATTACACAGCTTTTTATAGTTTTCTACTAGCCCCCACCTGGTCGTAAACCTAAACATTCACACTCTCTTATCTGTCGTGGCGCCTAAGTTATGACCTCGGGCTCCCTGTCTTTCTACCCCCTACAAAGGTGGGGGCACAGAATGTTGTCTGCTTTTGCTATCACTGGACCAAGGTCCTTCGCACGCAACCTTCTCAGAGAATGATTTAAGCAGTCTGACATGACAAGAAAACAGTGTAAAACATTCACAGCAGATAAATGGTGGCGCCCACCTGTCTAACAGAACCCAAAGGATGGTCACATTCTTTTAATCCCCAGAGATATACTTGAACTTTTGTCTATCCTACTACCCAAATATACTGAGACATTTATTCTAACATACTATAAGAATATACTGCGAAGGGGGTCATGTTCTTTAACCTAATCTCACA